CCATGGCTTCCTGTCTAGGCGAAACACCACATACATATCATAAGCATTTTGCACTTAAGAGCTCAATAGCATTTCAATAAAACAGTACATGAAAACACATCATGCATATAAACCATCCCCCCATGGGATATGGTGGAATAAACAATGGCTAAACCGAAGACACGAAAGCTTACCTTGCAAGCTAACAATCCAAGCCAAGAGTCCAACCCAGCTCAAAGCTCAAACACAGCAGAATCACAATCTGTTTTGGACCAGCAATCATATCAATAATCATACACAACAAGCATAAGACACAAAGACAACGTCTTTCCATTTCATGTCTTAAGGCTTCTCACAAAGTCACAAGCCCTTAATCACTTGATTCTGACTTAGTTCAATTATTGCAGAAGTTCAACTTAACCAATCTAGGGTCCACAAACCCCAAACACAGTTCTGTATGAACAGTGCAGCTACTGTTCTTCGAAAACCCAGAATATTCGGATATATGTCGGGGGAATATCCGGATATCTGTCTGGCAATATCCGGATATCAATATCTGGATATTCAGAACCCCATATTCGGATATCAATATCCGGATATTTCGCGGCAGAACTCAGATTCTGCATTTCGAGAGATATCAATCCAAAGGTTTGACTTTTACCGATTACAGAAGCTTAAACATGCATTTTAAGGTGTGTTTAACCTTACCCAACCTTAAGTTAACAACTTTATCTTATTATATGCATCAAGACTTCATTTTTAACTATTAACTCATGATCAAAGGTTGGTGGAACTTTCCAACAGCTCATAACAGAGAAAGGGAAGCTCTTGGAGCTCACCACCAAGTCCCCACAGTTCTGACTTTGCAAGGAAACGAAAATGACCACAAAGCAAGGTCCTTTCTTCACAAAGATAGCTTCTTGGAGTACCAACCACCAAGAAAATGGCTTCAACCATACAAGCCAAGGAACTCAGCTCTCAAACTCTCACTGGCAGTGGCTGAACACTCAGGAAAATGGTGCCTCTCAACCTCTCAAGACTAGTTCACAACATCTAAGGTGATTCAAAGAGGAGATTAGGAAGAGAATGGCCACTTGGCTCACAAAATGGAGGGAGGAAGACAATGGAATAGTGGAGGAAGCTGGTCAGCCACCAAGGGTTACGTATAAACTGATTATGGCCTAGGGTTTTGGGCCAAAATGAGTATATATAGCCGGTTTAAGTGTTAACATACTATATTAGCACTAATAGCTATACTTAGCATTTTAATACCAAACTTAGGATTCTGAACCTACTCATTTTTCTAAGATTTATCATATTTTTATTTTATTTTTCGCAGCACCTTTCCGGTACGCGCTTTTCCATGGCCAGTATCAGTTCTGGCACCAGTTCTCATTATTTTAACTTGAAACTTGTTTTACACGTCCGATATATTATTCTAGTGACATATACAGACTTTTTATAATTTTCTGGGATACTTCATCGGTACGCATTTATAGCGAGTAACATAATCGGTATCTGCACTTTTCGTCAGAAAAGCGACTTTCAACATTATTAATTAATTCCTATAATTATTTAAGCCTTATCATAATTATTAGGGTCAATTATGGAATAATTTCCTAATTTCACATAATTAATTAATTAACTTCATTAATTAACGGTGCGGGTTCTTACGCCAAATATCATGTATGTTAACAACCGAAGTACTACGGGGTGTTACACTTCTGTATGTTGTGTATATGTTACAGGGAGACGCAGCAGACTAGTGGAGCAATGTTTGGCATCCACTGGAGTGCCAAGGATATGCCATTACTTGGCCACTTTTTGAGAGGTATTTTCTGATGAAATATTTTCCGGAGGAAGCTAGGGATTTACTTGGTCACATTAAGTAATTTACAAACCAGTCAAGGTATAGTTGCGTATTAATTTAAACAAGAAAATTCAAAATATTTCGTAAGTGAAAACCAACTTGTTTAGTAAATATTAGTAAATATCAAGTCTCCAAAATAAAAACAGATGATGTAGAAGGAAAAGGAAACTTAAAGAAATTAGGTAGTAAAGAACTAATGGACAGGAGCTAGCTTGCAAACCGAAAAACATCAACAAACCGCAAGACTGCTGAATTATGTCAACAATATTGTTTCTTATCAATAAGCTTTGGATGACATTACAAAATGAGATATTCATAACGAATATGAGAAAATTAAATATAATATTTTTCTTTTTATACTAACATAAATATTTTCTACAAAAAATAATTTATATCAAAATTAAATCAATCCTGTTCTGGGTTTAACCTGGATCCGTATAATTTGGCTCTTCCATGGCTTGGACATTACGTATCCAACTTAGGCTCGTTTCCTGACTTAGGGCTCTACCCTTAAGCAGGTTTAATCTCACAATCGCACTCTCCTCGATAACCGCCATGATGACCTTTAGAAGAATTGCTACATACCCACGATCCTTACCCGTAATTGCTTGCGATGACCATTATAAATACACCTACAGTACTAAAGGAAGACACTTCGATTACATAACTTTCAACCATCCTTAGCAAGCTTACACTTTCATCCAAACATGAGACCTATACACCGTCTATACCAGACCATACCCAACCTTAGCATATCCCAAACATTTAACCTATAACCCTTACTCTATAGTTGGTCTTCACGTAGAACAAATGTAGGTGCAATTGGATTTACGGAAGGGTTTAGATCATTGCAGTTTGGGATACAACAGATCATCATCGTTTTTTTGCTTTAGCTTTTGATGCACATATCTCGTGCAGAATTTCTCATATATGATTTTCCTTCACGAACCGATCTCCTCTGTATCACGGTATGAACTCACAAACTGATCTTCTCTGCGTCATAGCACGATCAAACCTTTCTTGTTTCTGTTAAATCTTCTAGACTATCCTCGAGGAGGAAGGAGAAGTGTGTGGGCATTTTTTCAGATATGAGCTTACCTCTTCTGTTCAATGACCCAGAAGGCTGATGACTTAAGTGGTAGTATTTATATAGGTACCAAAAAACTCTAGCCCTAAGCTCTTTGTGCTCTAGGCTGATGACCCAGGAGGCTGATACTTTTCTGGGAATGAAAGTATTCGGATACCTTAGTAAAAGTATTGGGATACTTGTGGTATATTCGAATACTTATCGGGGATTATTCGGATACCTTATGATATTCGAATACTGTAGTAAAAGTATTCAGATACTTTGTGGTATTAGAATACCTTAGTGGAAGTATTGGGATACTTTCTAGGAGCTTGACCCCTTGTCTTACTGAGATTTCTTTTTAGAGATCTCACCTCGTGTTGGGGCACATTTTCAGGTACAGATACCTTGAAGGTTGAGATCTCTGGCGGCAGGAGGTCAGAGTTGAGCTGATTATGCATGTTGTTTTATTGATATGCCTGGATTTCTGTTATGCCTTGCTATCAGTATATTGCTATTTGATTTGAGACATTGTTGGCTTGTTGCCTTATTTGGTGAACATGGAGGTTGTCCATGCCACATTGATATCAGTTATGCTTTTAGTTTTGAGTTGTATAATGTATCAGGATATTGTCCGGTCTACGTGTTGTAGTTCCGTGACTAGATACACATTTATTGAATTAGGGTATTCAATGTAGTTATTTATTACAATTTACATACAGACGATATTTTAAAAAAGGATAAGTAATCAACTTGGTTAATTTAATATGTACATAATTGGAAAGAAAAATTTAGCTTCCGCATTTATTTAGCTGTGCCATTACCATATGTATGTTTAATACACCGGGTGCACGCGGGGTGTTACGACTGTGATAGTTTCTCTAATGGATTACATGCATTGGTCAGTGTCTTCAAGGGGATATATCCTACAAATTTCATATTGTTTATCTCATAAATATCGATAATGAAATATTCTCACTCCTAAAATATTGATTTATTGGTCGTTAATAGATCGGATGTGACATCTCTTACCCTACGCGTTCGGGGAGATGTCCATATAATCGTATTAGAGTGTGTAATAAAAATATGGGAAATTTTATTACACACTCAGCTCAAATATGGAAAATTTCCGAAAGTGGTTGTTGTTAAAATTCGAAAAATCTGTCTGTATTCAAAAATTCATCTGTTATTTTCATAATGTACCGTTTATTATGTGAGTTGACACGACACGACATGACACGAATAACATGTCAACAATAAATTGTATTACTTATTATGCGGGTCGACACGACACGATAATACACGAATAACTTGTTTTCGACATAACACGACATGAATAACCTGTAAGAAAATTAATGCAGGTCAATTTCGGGTTCGCAAGTTGACAGGCGACATGACGCAGATTTTTTCGGATTAATTTTTGTCAACACGAACACGACACAAATTTAAAATTGGGTCAACCCAAACACGTTTTTTTGTATCGGTCAGCGGGTCATGTTAAAAATTCTCACCCCTAAATAAAGGTAACTGATTTATACACTTAATGTAATAAGTTAATCATGAACAATAATAGAAATAGTTAAGTATCATAAACTCACCTTTGGATAAAGTATATAATATATGATCATTTAGTAACACAGAAAAGTGTATATAATTATCTAAAATTCATCCCTTTGAAAATATAAATTTTATAAATTATATATTTTCATAATTCCAATATACAAAACATTATATATAATATTCAAAAATATTATCCCTTTCGAACGGATAAATAAATTTTAATTATATACATGTTCCATCAACAGACTTTTATGTTAATGTAATTTCCAAATTATTGTATATTAAAAATTCATAGTTGTGCATATTCGGAAACATGCCTCACCCCAAATAAATAATTAAAATTATGTAATAAAAAAATTAAAAAAACAGAATCTACAACAATATGTATGAACTTTATTACTACATCTATATATTTTGTTACAGAATTGCACGTTCCTCTCTGATTTGTAGAGAGAGTGTCTTTCTTTACATATTAGTTTACCTAGGGTTCCCAAAATGACCAAGTACTAAAGCAATGAACACATATCATTCACCCCAGAGAGACAAGTCCACGGTAGTTTCCCCTTCAACCCAATTGAACCCTCTCTCCAAAGCCGGTGGCGTTATAATCAACCCTTCAGCCATGCTGTTCATCAACCCTGGCAAGTTAAACACCTCCTCTTCATCCCAAAAGAAGCTTCCAGAATTTCCCTCTAAACCCACCTCAGAACCATTAATATTCGTACCAATCTCATTATTGGCTGAAAAGTGCTTTTCAGCTGCTTGCATTGCTGCAAACTGAATGGCTCTAACGGAACACGTTCGTGAATTAAGACGTGGCAACGAGGTAGCTTCGTTTGGAAAATTTAAAGAAGCATTGTCACCTTTGAAAGCCAAAGCAGCAACATCGTATGCTATAGCTGCCATGTCAGGGTGAGCAAAAGTTCCAAGCCATACTCGAGTTTTGTTCTGAGGTTGTCGTAGCTCACACACCCACTTCCCATTCCTCTGCCTCACCCCTTTGTATATTGGATGACGAGTCTCGTGGAACTTCTTTCTTCCAGCTCTTCGTTTTTGCATTTTTTGTGTTTAAAGTTATCTTGAAATTCGCATCAAATTCAACAATGGTGAACGTTTTTATAGTTTACACTGTAACAATATTTGGTTGTTGGAATTTGAATTAAAAATAATTAAGGTGAAGCAGGGGATTTATTTTTATTTATTTTTTAAAAAAAAGGAATGGAGAACGTGCTAGTACGTGCGTGACATTTTGTGGTACCACGATGTTTGAACGTGACAGAATTATAGATTATGGTGTGAGAAGCGTGCTTAAATGTTTAAAGCTATTGTATATTTTCATGCTGCACGTGTAAGAATGTGAAGCTTGAACCAGAAAGTCACGTGGTGGAAAAGTAAAGAAAAACCGATTTTTTTTTTTGCTGAAATAGATAATAATTAATTAATTAGGATTGTTTCATATTACAAACAGATCGTTTCATGTTATGTATTAGTTATGATGATATTTTTATTAATTATTAATTTTTATTGTTATTGTTATGAGTGATTAACTGATTAAGTATTGATTATTGGGTAGGTTTGTAGTTATTATTATTAATTAAGGGTTCGCTTTTTCTGCAATCACTAGAGATAAGTTATCTGCAGTAAGCGCAAAACGACGTCGTTTTGGAACGGAAATTATGGTGTTTTTGTAATTTTAATTTATTTCAAGTTTATTATAGTCTTTATAATTATAATTTTTTAATTTTTCAATTCCAAAAAGACGTCATTTTAAGAATAAATGCAGATAACTTATCTGCAGTATTTGCAAAAATATTTTTCTGATTAATTAAATATATTAAATAAAGAAAAAAATTCTATTTTTGTTCAAAAAAAAAATTCTGTCACATTCACGTAAAAATAAGTGAATTTTATTATAAGAAAAAAAATTAATAAAATCCATTAAGTGTAATAAAAAAAAATCAATAAAATTAGAAATATTAAATCCTTAAATAAATACGATGAAAGAATGCCCGAGTCATGCCAAATAAATACGACGAAGTTAGACTAGGACTCGAAGTTTTTGGGACATGTAGAGACCCACGCATGGTCGGTGAAAGGTACAATGATATTGTTTACAAATTTTTAATTGCTTAGGAAATAGAAGAAATTATTATTATCAGCATCTTTGAATGAGGTTATGTAAAATATTATTATTTTTGTTTTAATTATATTTGTAACACTTTAATTAAGAAACATACATTAATTATAATAATATAATAAATTTCACGTTGTTTTTTTTTAACAGGAGATTTCACGTTGTTAGGTAGCAGTTTCTTTGTCGTTTGACTGACACGTGGTATCATTCATTTCATATGCATTCTTCAAAAAGGTTCATATCATCAATCATCATTCACTGCCATTTTCCTTTTTCCACGTTTTGGAGACTACGGGTCATGTTCCAACAATCTCACTTTCAAGAAATAAAGACAAGTAAACAGAAACTTTTGAAAATGGATCTCTCATATTAAAATTTGGGAAATGTTTTTCTCTTTTCACATGAGACAAGATTTTATTCCTACACATATATCGACTTTCGTGCCAAGTTTTTGTTTTTGTTTTTGTTTTTGTTTTTACTTTTTTTTAAATTGCTGGTCCCACTTTTTTGTCTCAGTAGGAGACAACTCTTCTCTCCTGTTAAAGGAGAAAAATATTCCCCTTAAAATTTTCCATGATTTGGTTATATAAAATTTTGCTTTAATAATTTTAAAGTGAATGTAAATAAGTTATCTACATTCGTTCTCAAAACGACATCGTTTTGGGTTAAAAAATTAAGAAATTATAATGAAAAAACTATTATAACCCTGAAATAAATTATAACTACAAAAATACCTTGATTTCCCCTTCAAAACGACATCGTTTTGGACTAAATGTAGATAAGTTATCTACATTGACTGTAAAAAAAATGAACTCATAAAATTTTTATATTTACTTTTTTATTAATAATAATTAAATCTCATTTATTTAATACATATAAAAAAAGAGATAGATATAAAAATTTTATATGACTAGATCATTTGAAATTTTATTATAAGAGCATCCACTCCCGAAACTAATACGCATTCTATTTTGGGCTTCTTAAGGGTGTGCATGATAATAATTCTGTTTCCTGGTACTGTTTTTTAAAAGAAACAATTCTTTTCTATTTCTAGGAATAATTTTTGAGGAAAAAAATGTGTTTGATAACATTCTATATATTTATTTCGAGAATGAGAATTGTGTTTCATAACACAACAAATAATAAAATAAAAAATCATTCCTATTAAGTATAAAAAAAATTTAGGTCATCACTTTCTGTTTCATATGGTGTGGTGGTGGTGGTGGTGGTTGTGGCATCATGGTGGTGATGGTGGCAGCGGCAGCGCCGACGATGGTGGCGGTGTTAATGGTGACGATGGTGATGACATGGTGGTGGTGGCAGTGGCAGTGGTGTGGTGATGGTAATGGCAGTGGCCACGGCAGGGTGGTGGTGTTGGTGACGACAGTAGCTGCGGCGATGGTGGTGGAGGTGATGGCAGTGGCTGCGACAAAAGTGGTGGTAATTGTGGCGGCGACAGTGGTGGTAGTGGCATGGTGGTGGTGGTGGTGGTGACAATAGTGGCTGCAACGATAATGGTGGTGGTTGGTGACAGTGGTGGTGATAGTATGTGTAGTGGACGTGGTGGAGGTGGCGGTGGTGGTGACAGTGGCTAGTGGTTGTTATGGAATATTTTCATATCCTAACCACCTACCCAAGGATCCCTTAAAGGATAATTCTCCAATTATCCTAACAATATAAAATAGTAAGGCAGCTAAGGATAGAGTCCTTATCCCAACAGAAAGGAAGTTAAATCCTACTATAACTGGGAGATCTACACAAGCCCAAGAGGTAACCCTTATAAATAAGAGGTTAAAGACCCCAGGTATACACCTTTAACTCATTTACTACTTCTGCCCACACTGTGCACACACCCACGTCTCGGCTATAAGCCTATTTCTTGTGCGCAGTGATGGGGATATTGGCTATAAGCCAACGAAGATACCTATCCATAGGATATCTCTGAGCGCATACCCTTGAGGTATCTTTATACGATTTAATAGAACCGAACATTGGCGCCGTCTGTGGGAAACCGTAATGTTCGATTCCCACCCAACTATAGTGAGCACGCAGAGCACAAGCGTAAAGCCACGGATAATCACCGCGGTAGCAAGAGAAGCGCTTCCACAACCAAATCTTAATACAATGGGGCTCACCATGAAATAAAAAAGCATGAAGGGCGATCGTCGTGCAAGAAGCTCAAGAACCCCAGTGCCAACGAGAATCTCTGTCTCTACAAGACCACGGCATAAAAAGCCAGGTTCAGATTAAAAAAGCCTCCGCGAAAGAAGCGGGGCTCAAATTAAAAGATCACGGCGTAAAAAGCCGGGATCAGATAAAAAAGCCTCTGCGAAAGAAGCGGGGCTCAAATTAAAAGACCACGGCATAAAAAGCCGGGTTTAGATTAAAAAGCCTCCGCGAAAGAAGCGGGGCTCAAATTGAAAAACCACGGCATAAAATGTCGGGATCAGATAAAAAAGCCTCCGTGAAAGAAGCGGGGCTATAAATTAAAAGACCACGGCTAAAAAAGTCGGGTTTAGATTAAAAAGCCCCCGCAAAAGAAGCGGGGCACAAATTAAAAGACCATGGCATAAAAAGCCGGGTTCAAATAAAAAGGACAACAAAAGGCTTCAAGTTTAAAAGCTCAGCCTTGAGCTTCAACTCAGCCCAACAAAGGGCTTCAGAATTATTAGCTCGGCCTCGACCTTGAGCTCAGCCCAATGAAGGGCTTCAAGTTTAAAAGCTCAGTCTCAGCCTTGAGTTTCAACTCAGCCCAACAAAAGGGCTTCAAAATTATTAGCTCAGCCTCAGCCTTGAGCTCAGCCCAATGAAGGGCTTCAAGTTTAAAAGCTCGGCCTCATCCTTGAGCTTCAACTCAGCCCAACAAAGGGCTTCAAAATTCATTAGCTCGGCCTCGGCCTTGAGCTCAGCCCAACGAAGGGCTTCAAGTTTAAAAGCTCAGCGTTAGCCTTGAGCTTCAACTCAGCCCAACAAAAGGCTTTAAAATTATTAGCTCGGCCTCGGCCTTGAGCTCAGCCCAACGAAGGGCTTCAAGTTTAAAAGCTCGGCCTCGACCTTGAGCTTCAACTCAGCCCAGTTAAGGGCTGCAAATTTCTTAGCTCGCCCTCGCCCTTGAGCTCAGCCAAATGAAGGGCTTCAAATTTATTAGCTCGGCCTCGACGTTGAGCTCAACCAAACGAAGGACTTCAAGTTTAAAAGCTCAGTCTCAGCCTTGAGCTTCAACTCAGCCCAACAAAGGGTTTCAAAATTATTAGCTTGGCCTCGGCCTTGAGCTTAGCCCAACGAAGGGCTTCAAGTTTAAGAGCTCGGCCTCAGCCTTAAGCTTCAACTCAACCCAACAAAGGGCATCAAAATTCATTAGCTTGGCCTCGGCCTTGAGCTCAGCCCAACGAAGGGCTTCAAGTTTAAAAGCTCGGCCTCAGCCTTGAGCTTCAACTCAGCCCAACAAAGGGCTTTAAAATTATTAGCTCGGCCTCGGCCTTGAGCTCAGCCCAACAAAGGGCTTCAAGTTTAAAAGCTCAGCCTCAGCCTTGAGCTTCAACTCAGCCCAACAAAGGGCTTCAAAATTATTAGCTCGGCCTCAGCCTTGAGCTCCTACTCAGCCCAGTGAAGGGCTTTAAAATTAAAAGCTCAGCCTCAGCTTTGAGCTTCAACTCAGCCCAACAAAGGGCTTCAAAATTATTAGCTCGGCCTCGGCCTTGAGCTCAGCCCAACGAAGGGCTTCAAGTTTAAAAGCTCGGCCTCAGCCTTGAGCTTCAACTCAGCCCAACAAAGGGCTTTAAAATTATTAGCTCGGCCTCTGCCTTGAGCTCAGCCCAACAAAGGGCTTCAAGTTTAAAAGCTCGGCCTCAGCCTCGAGCTTCAACTCAGACTAACAAAGGCCTTTAAAATTATTAGCTCGGCCTCATCCTTGAGCTCCTACTCA